TGTATAATTATACATGTAAGGTGACTTTGACAGATTTGGAGGGAAGTTGCATCTGGTCATTAATTCTGTTCTTTCAATACAGAAATACCCCAAATATTTGTTGCTCCCCACTCTATACCCTTGCACTGCAACAAGTCTTCAATAAAGCAGAGAAACCTGGGGAAACATCAACATGCTGTAGGCAGATTGTGTAATTCAGAAATTCAATTAAGAAGATGAAATGTAATTTTAAAACAGTGGAATGGGAAGAAATGAGACAAATACATTATGGGAAAATGGCTGACACATCTTAGTAGGAGCTCTACCTGATTAAAAGCCTTGGGCCATTTGATCACATCTTCAGAAATGGTGAAAAGTTTGCCAGGGGCATTCTCTGGTGCCGTTCTTCCAACTTTGACTCTTACGAAGGACTGATTTGGAAATGTGATCCAATTGATAATATCAAATCCTGCCATTAGTTCCCCTTTTGAACTAAAGGAAAGCATTTCTCCAACACTGTTGTTAAATGAAACACTTCTCAGGTATTGGTGAAGCTACATGAAAATGAGGGCAAGAAATCATCATCAGCATCATATTAAATAAATACAGTTACAATCAAATTGAATCTTAAAGACATTCTTTTGGTAAAAAGAAATAGTCTGGCACACAGATTTATCCCAGATATTGAAAATAGCCAATTTCAATTCATTCTTTCCAGTTTTCCTTCCCAGTGTTCTATTGCTGTTGAACTAGGGAATCTTAATTTTCTTTGCAGCAGTTGTACTGGATTGTATGGGATAACTTCTAGACTGGGTCACTTACTTTAAGCAAATGGAATTTCCTACTCTGGCTACAGAGATACTAAGAGAATCTTTAGAATAACTATTTCCATTGCTCTCTAGGAGAATGCATGTTCCTTCACTGGCAGGAACAATTAAGGATTCATATCAAATTCATCATATCCTTTTCCATCCAGTTAGTTCACAATAAATATTTCACAAGAAAAATAAAGGACAAAAAAGCTCTAATACTCATTCCTCCATCCAAATGTTAGGGCAGAGTTAACTCTATATATTCTGAAAAAGGAAACATGTCAATATTCAGTAGTTTGCTAGCAACTTTATGCAAGGTTTCCCTGTTCATCCATCTAGCCAGACCATGCAATGAAGCAAAAAGAAAAGAAAAACCTTAAAAGGAAAAACATAAAAGAAATTAAGCTGATCATTATCTTAGTTCCTGTTATCAAGAATGGCTAATCAGCTTCAACGCTGTGTTAAGGCAGTCCTATGAACTGGGTGTGAAATGGCAGCTATGATACAGCTGTTGTCTGAATGTCCAAAATTCTCCACTGGGTACCAGTGCCTGGAGGTCCCAGAACTATGTTTACATGACTTCTGCTGCATTATTCATCTCAGGAAACTACCTGCCAGGGATGTTGCTTCAGAAGCTGCTGTCTCTGTTTCTCTCGTTTTGCTCCTTGTTTCACTGAGTGCACAGCGTGCAAAGCTTCTGCCACCACATGGACAGCATTGTAGACACTGTAGCTGTGGCTGGTCATGCTCATTTCAAAAATCGACCCAGGAAGATGCTCCAGGTTCTCCTCTCCAGTGCAGAGTTCTTCTGCCATTGTTTCTCCAGCGGCACTGGAGAAAGAACACTGAAATGCCTCTTTCCAGAAATCCCTGGAAAAACCATCATCTTGTTTAGATGTGAGCTTCTGGTGCTGAAGGAACTGATGGAATCCCAGCACTTCCTCACTGTGAACTGCAAAGGAGAGTGCACCATGCATGAAGTCCAAGGGCCAGCTTCGTTGAAAGGACATTGAAGTGAAATCCATCTGGGCTACAAAAATCCATACTATGGGTTTTATTAGGTTCTCCTCAAAGTCAGCCATATAAATCATTATCCTTAAAACCACCATAGTTTGAATTTCACCATATACAACTACTATATTAGCAGTTGCTCCCATAATAATTCTTGTAGTTGTCTCTCCTTGTGCAACCATTTCAAAGATTTCGGTTGAAAAATTTACTTGTGGAAATGTTTCTATAAAGTCAAAGCAGATACCTCTCTGAGCAAACATGGGCAGTTCATTTTCTACAAATCTCTCCCCACTCTCATCATGAATGAAAATCACTCCAATCCACATCCACTGGAAATGGAGCAGTAGTTGGAGAATGCCCTTATATTGTTGGTTGATTTCTGGAAATATCTGGTGAAGGAAACCTCTCTGGTTTATGTCATTCACCACAGGGGAGGACCCATATGCCAACTAAAGAATACAGCAAACAGTCAAGAAGTGTGTCTCAGATACTTTCTGAATATGATTAATTTGAGTACTTTCACCATTTCTGAATTGCTAGGCATGTCCCCAAGTGTTAACTGTTTTTCAGTGCAGACTTCATTCAAACTCAGTGATCATTTGGGGTTTGTGAATGTAATGGCAATGGATTTACCTTCTCCAAAATAAACAGAAGAAACTTTCCTCAGTACATGATCAGTAACATAAACCCCAGGTAATCTCATATTTATCCACAACATTTCCCCAGGAATGGAAGGACTTAAATTCTCTCCCCCTGATGTTTGTGGGGTGTGTAGAACTTTATGCTAATTGAAAGCTTGAACGGACTTTTCTTATGATATCTGTAGAATCATCTTTATTAATGTTCCCATGCATTCTGAAGATCATACTATCTAGTTTAGGTCCTTTGTAATGTAACACATAGCTGAAGAAAAACAGCATAAGAAAACAGCAACAAACCAAGAGAATCTAGATTCACTGCCTCGAGGAGTAGCAGTCACCTATCTTTGGTTAGTGCCTGCCTCCACTTCTGAGTACTACAGGGGACAGGGAATATGGTCAAAATGTTCTGTTCTTACTCAGAAATGTCCCGGTTTCCTTAACTGTTGCACATGTGTGTTTCTCTTTGGGAGTGCAAAGTCTCTGAAATGACACCCAGTTTGCTTTTGAACTTAAGCTATATGAGCGGGATAATGGGAACTCAGTTGCATGTCAAATATGCATCACTCAACTCTTGGTCATATTTCTATTGCTAAGAAGAGGCATGAATGGTTGGTTTATTATTTTGGCTCATAAGCCAGTATCAGCAGCAAAAAGAGAGAGCTGCCCTGGAATAGGGTTGCTCTTCAAATAGGATCTGCCCCTTTTAATTCCATCCTAACTCCCTAATAGTATCAAAGTCATGTCTCAAAAATATTGGGTGCTTAACAGTATTGCACGAAGACAGCTCACCTGTGGAATCTTGTAGATGGACAAAATGGGTGTCATGAAAAGACACGCATCAGCATTAGGTCCCCCAATAACTGCTGCTATATTACTCTGCACATCACACTTGTAGTTAGGGATAAACTTGCCCCGTGTGGAGAGAAGTTCCAGTGAGGCAAGGTAAGTCCACTTGGCCTGGAAATTGCTGTTCAAGACATGGAAGCCCAGCGTGGCATTAGGTAAGATCCTTGGACTGTCATTAATGGTCTCTGTGGCAAATTGCAAGGCTAGCAGATGCTGGTAGTTCTGAGTTATTACTCTGCAATGAGAAGATTGCCTTTTTAATCATTAGATCTTACAACCTAAACAGATCACTGCCTCTCCATGGAACAAATTTCTTGGAACTTTCCTCTTCCTGGGAATAAACATTTAATAATAATACAAGAGGGGAGAGACTTTGATCAATTATTTTTTTCTGTATTTATCCCAGATATTCAGTACATTACTTATTATTATTAATTGATCTCATAAATTATTTGTTTCTGCTTTAGTTGACCTAGAGATATTTATTCAAACCATCTGGAAGCTTTGCCCCTTCCATAGCTGTAACCAAGCTGCGAAAGAGTGAAATCACCACCTGGAGTGAGCAGCCAATTTTCCCCTCCTGGGATCCAGACTTTTGGTGCTACCTGGAAAGGAAGGTTCAAGCAGCCCCACGCTTTCCTTCATTGGAGCGTTTCTTTTATGAAAAGGGGACTGAAAGCCAGCATGTGCGTGGGTGTGTCAAGAAAGGGGTTAAGCCAGGGAGACAGCAGAGACTCAAGAATGAGAAAACCTCCAATGCAAAGGGAAGCAACTCAGCAGTAGTCTTCAGATAGGAAGAGAACATTTCAGTTCTTGGAGATGGGGGAGGAAAGAGCCTGCCAAGAATCTGCAAACCTGCAAACCGAGCCAGGCCCCCTCCGTGCAGCAGCCCAGGGCAGAGCTCTACAAACCAGAACCAGGGGACTATGAGTGCTGGGAGGGAGGGGGGGACATCAAAGCCCATTTGCAAGTCTGTAAAGAGAGAGGAGGGTTTTCACATGCAAAATGGACTGAGATTGGCTAAAGAGATGAAGACCTGGGGAAAAGGAAAGATTTAACTGTCTAAGAAATAGTTAAGATAGGGAAACATTGTATCACAAACATAGGAATAGGTACATAGAAATAGAACATACTGTAGATATAGAAATTTATAGGTTAAGTAAGAATAAAAATAGATAGTAGAATAAGACAGGAGTTTAATTTTGCACAATAAAAGAGTCTTTGTGTCTATGTTCTACACCATATTTAGAAAAACCCTAACACACAAAGGGATATCACCCACTCTGAGTTCCATAATAAGCAGCAAGCATTGGAATACAACTTAGTGCTTGGAAGGGTTAACCCACCTCGCTCATTTGAACCCTGTACAATCTTGAATTTAATCCTGCTCTTTTATTAGACCATATGTAGCCCATTACCTCTTTAGACCTAATACCTTGTTATCAAAATGTATTCAAATCATTGGAAAAAGAAAATTGAGTTTTGGTAAAATGTTCATTTCAATGTCAGCAATTCTACCTAGCTGAGCAACTCAGGTTTATTTTTTTTTCCCATCCAGAGAAATCTGCGGTTATTTTTCTCAGTAAGAAGTTGCCTTAAGTTCTAATTATTCCCTTTATTAGCTGTCCTTTGTGGGTAACTCTTCTGATCATGACCATCTGTTCCTGATTCTTCTAATGTTCATGCCCCCTTAGTTAACACTTCAATGAAGATTCCATGTTTTGTAACAGACTGAACATTTGAATATTAAACCTACTAATTTTTACTTCCACAATGCTAGAAGAGAGAAGACTATCAAATAATTGAAGTTGCCCTTCTGTAACAAGTCCTTTAAGCAAAGATTCATACATGAACCCCTTTGCAAAAAGCTCTGAGTGCAAAACAGCCAAGAAATTTGAAAACCCCAGAGGATAGCAAGCTGGTTTAAACAGGGATGCTTGGAGGCAAAAGAAAATTGCAAGCTGTTTATCAACATGAGAGGAATGCTTACTGCTAAACACTCCCTCAAAGTTATTAATATCTTAAAAGTCAGTATCAATCTTTGCTGAACCATAACATAACAGCAGAATGAATTAGAATGCAGATTAGAAGAGTGATTTAATTGTTTTAAAAGCTAAAAATAAAAGAAAGATATGCAAATTTCAATGAATAGATACATAAATATTTACTCCTGGAAATTAAAAAGAAGATGAAATCTCTTTCTCAGTGAATCAGACTGCTCTCAGGATTGAGTCTGAGCTTCTCAAAATGTTTTGAATCAATGCTGTTCACTCCAATCACTTGGGAAGCCTGGATTTAATGGGAGTTTGTTGCAGGAGGAAGTAGTTGCTCCTTTGTTTCCATTAAACTTTCCTTTACTTACCTGGCATAAAAAAAAAAAAAAAGTGGATTTTGACATGGAATTGCTCTCCATGCTCTATGTTTCAATAAAACTCCTGAGTCTTATTATGGTTTAATTAGAATTGTTATTATCTTTCCAGTAGGCATAGAATGACAGACAATGATGCAATGATGGCCCCCATTAATTCAGAGAGAACAGCATCACTTGAGCATTAGACAGGACTTGCCGGGAGATGTAACGTGCTTACAAATCAAGGGAAAAGATCAAAGGCCTTACATGATATTGTCAAAGATCTCAAAAGAGGGATTCCTTTCAAAGGTTGCTGGAGTGGAAAATAGATAGATCTGAGAGAGAATGCCACCAATGATAAAGTCACCAGGATGGTGATGCTTGTGAAGAATAGAAAGAGGGAGACTTGTAGGGCATTTCACAGGAGGACTGTTACCAGCTTCTTCAAACATCAGCATCACTAGTATTGATGCCACAAACCTCACCATCTAGAATGATGATCTTTCTTCAAGATTTCCTGTCACATATACCTATCTTGTCAAGTTGGATATGTTGGAATGAAAAAACACTTATTTGATGTCTGGCCTTAATAAGAAATATAATCAAACAGATAAAATATTTTCTGTCCCTGTCTTAGGTCAGAATGGATATTAATAGCAGGTATTAGTCTTGGTTCAGTGTTTTCCTATCAATTATTTGGATTCTCCAGGGAGTTGTACAAGTAATTGTGCTTGGGTGGAAAATTATAGAGAAGAGAATAACGAGCATAATGTTGTTGCTCTATGAAG